ATATGATTTTGTAAGTTCAGAATATATTTTCTAATTTCCAAGAGTGGTGAATTAATCATAATTATTTGACAACTTCGTAAACAACTACAAATGAGTGGCCTCATTACCAATTACGGTCAGCCAGGAAACAACAGGCCAACTTTTTCTCTGCCTTTAGTGCAGGTTCTCTCCCCATACTATAGGAAATGCAACATACACTTTTGGCATTGTGGTATGCAAGCCTCAATGGATGAGAATCCCAATATTACATGTACATATTCTTGTCTTTACCCATTGTCTGCTGGGGCGACCTTCAATTACAAATACTGGTATGGGGTATCGTGAAATAATTACTATCCATGTCATGCCTGTCCTGGTTGAAAGTGACAACAAAAGGTCATGTTAATAAGGGAAGATTGCCTTTTGTCACTTTCAAGTTATGCAATAATCTGGTTTAAATGTTTAATGTTTAAATGTTTTGACTTGCCCCAAGGTAAGCTAGGGGGGGCGTAGCGGTTCTTTCCTCGCTTTGCACCAATGAGGCCCGGGTTCGAGTCCCGGCTTGGCCCAAGCTTAAGTGCATTTGGTCTCCAGTCCATACTCGCTCTCGCAGATGTTCAGCCATGCATGACAGGAGGAACACTATCAAGATATGTTTTGAAAGAATACTGCTTCTGCTTTTCGGAGATCCTCATACATTAGAATCATATCTCATGGTTTGGGCCTATTAATACACCCTGTATAATTGATGTGCAATTGTTCAGTGGCGCTCCTAAGTCTGCATTTTCGATACGTATAGTCTGTGGATAGTCTGGGTATTACCTGATCTACCGCGACTCCGTCACGGTGCAAGCTGTAGCCTGTCTATACGAGCGCACGTCTATCAGACCATGGAGGTAGAATGATCAGACCATGGAGGTGTACCCTTTGGGCCTGTCAACCGGTCAAATCAGAAACTTTGTGTGGTGGGCTTTGCACATGTCACTTTTGGTCAAATTTGCAGAGATAGTGAAGCATCGTTGAGTTCAGATTACTCCCAGTAATAATGTGAGTAAAGATATTACTTTAAACAAATAATGATGATTTCCAGATTTAAAAAAAAAAAAGCTGCCGTTTTGTATTACAGCGCCCTCTCGGGGCTGTTAATCAATCAAAAATACACTGGTACGCTTGACTTTGTTCGTTCGTTTCGTCTTTATAATGGAGATCAATGCGCTAATACGACGGGTACCAGTGGTTAATGTTGACGGTAGAGTGCGCACTTTATTCGTAAAAGCAACAAGTTGACAATTGTAGGTAAGTGTCCTAGATTTGTGTTTTATTCAATCCGATAAACTTTCAAATTACAAAGAAAAAAGGGAAATATTGAACATTGTTGCATTAAAGTATTAGTCAGTCGGTGATAGCATTGGTCATTTTCCTTTGAGGCGAGTTTCAGTGTCCTCAAAACTGCCCACCGAAGTTTGGCAAGCCACGGGGTCAGTGTTACTTGGTTTTGCGCACCGCGCCGACGCATTTAACCCAATTTACCCATTTTTAACCCGACCTCGACCTCTCAAAATGAATGCACCATGGTAAGGGTTCCATATGGGCGTCACTCACTTCCTTTGCAGTGGGTTGTTAGCCATTGGAAAAAGTCCAATCGTAAGTCAAATTTAGCTGGGATAATTTCGAATAATAATTTTTAATATTAAACAGAGAATTCCCAGATCAGTGTCTTCCAACCTCCATAGTCCCATGCTGGTTTCTGCACAGGGTGTCTAGTGATAGGCTAACCATCTGTGGAACTCTCTCCAAATTAACAAGTATTTTTCCCATCCACGTCATTGCATGTATTGTAACTCTAATGAGTGGAAACAGCATGAAATGTAGCTTGACCAATTGCTACTTCAGAACTACAAGGTTTACACAAACCCAACAGATAACCATGTACACACACAACCTCCCATAAACAATGGTTGGCTGTTTCGATAGTGCCAACTTACACCACCATCACAGCTATTTGTTCAACAAAGTTTCATACATGCCTTCCTGGTGAAGTTAGATTTCCGACAGGGAGGTTTATTCACCTTATATCCTCATTAAAATTGTGAAATTCTTGCACATTTTGCCCTTCCACGCTGCGGAAAATCAGCAGCATGGACTCTAAATCACTCAGCTGCAAGACAGCCTGACCAATTGCAACACTGCTCCTATCTTTTCCTTCTTGTTTTCCTGTCACCCACCCACTGTGATTGGCCCAATTTGCTTCCATTCCAATGGCCAATCATAGTTCGGCTTTCATTTTAATGGGGTCAGGAAAACCAGGAAAAGATAGGAGCTGTGTTGCGATTGGTCAAGCTGTCATGCAGCTGACAGTGATTGCGAGTACATGCATCTGAGTTCTCTGGTGTAGATGGGCAGAATACTCACGAATTTGACCATTTTAATGAGGTGAATAAACCTCCCCATCAGACATCTAACTTCACCAAGAAGGCATGTATGAAATTATGTTGCACAAATAGCTGTGATGGCAAGGTAAGTTTGCACAATCTAAACTGCCAAAATGTATTTATGTAAGCTTGTACATAGCTGTCTACAAGGTATGTATAAACCTTACAGTTCTGGAAGTAACCTATCGCAATTTGGCTCCTATGTTTTTCTAGTTGTTTTCCTGTCACCCGCAAATAAAAGCTATGCCATGATTGTTCTAATCGTATCTAACCAATAACTGTCTGAAGGCCATTACCTTCTTTACACCAAAGAGAGTATTCGCTCCTGGGTGACATGTCACTGTTTCTCATCGACCCAGAAATTTCAAATTCAAAAGAAATTTCCCCGCCATGTTTGTAAATGTTTTACTGGACGGAAGCTACACAATAATAGGGCTGATTCTTGATGTAACCCACAGAAGCTCTGTCCCAATGCCAGTGGCCATTTTTCTACATTCCTGCACGTTATGGTCGCAGCCAAATGAACTTTCAGACATGGCTCACGGCATGACCTGCACGATTGTATGGGCCCATGGTCACAATCACAACATTAGTATGGAACCAAACAAAGTTTGCCACGGTAGAAATCTAAAGGCTGGTTCATACTTCTTGCAAAATGAACATGGACGCAAAGTTGTGACGTTAGCTCAAATGCACACGACAAATTCGCAAAAGTTGAACACATTTCAGCGGAATTTCACTGCAAATCATTTTTTATTTCAAATTGGGTTCGCTTTCACATTCATTGGCAGAAACAAATTGGTACCTATTCATGATCGGATACCCACTGCCCTAATTTTAAGGGAATTTTAGCGAGAGAAGGGGGTTCCAGACTTAAGGGGGAGGGAGTTGTGGTTGTTTTTGGTGTTCAACAAAACTCATTTTTTGTGATGGTCTGGTATGAAATTCTGCCCATGTAAGATGCTAGGCATAACCGTGAAGTGTTTCTTAAAGAGTCACTTTATGTAGGCCTACATGTGGTTCCAAAGATGGAGAGATGTTCTGTGGGAAAGTTGGTATGTTATGCGGAATGCTTTATTCATTTGTCCACATGTTTTGGGGGGTTTTTTCATAACAGTTTCAAAACTTGTTTTACGCATATTTCACTGAATTCTGTTGAGATTAGCATGATATTTACTCAAATTGGTTGAGGGCGATACTGCCATCTTTTTTTTTTCAAATTTCAGTATGTGCAAACATGGGCAAGATTGAAAGAAAATCCACAGCTGTTTAGAGTATACCAAGATGACCCAAACATCAAGCAGGTGTTTTTAGCAGCTTGAATGGAGTCTAACAATGGAGGAAGCAGAGGTCATTGACATTGACGACCTTCTGGGATCTTCAGCACCAATTGTAAGTTAAGTTCAGGGCAAAGGTCAACTGTCTTTTCTCTATTATAAGTACGATTCACAACTGTTGGAGCTCTCCTTCAACCCAGGATGTCTGCCATAAATGCCTCTCTAAACTGATACAAAGACGAAGAAGGGCTACATGTTAACCGACTCTGCGATTATTCCCAAGGAACTGATCTGATTTGTGACACGTTACATCATCACCATATGCAGTAATGTACCTGCATACAACATACAAATGTTGACAAAAAGTCCTGCTTACTATTATGTAGCATCTGAAAACAGGCTAAGTTGTAGGATTTGATTTTGGGGGGGGGCACTTTTAATATATGTACATCATGTGTGTGTACCATTCAATGTGCAGCTTAGTGTCAACTGATTAAAAATAACAGCAAGTGAGGTCGAGTTTCGTTTGTTTCAAATGAAATGAACAGTACCTTAAAGGGTCCTAGTTGCAGGCAGAAATAAGTCTGTTGAACCTTTTTTCATAACATTCAAACTACTGTAAACACATTTTTTCTGTCTGTATTTCCAATTTTCACGTTTTCCAAAAGTTTCCTCTAAAACTTTAGGTTTATGCCGTCAAAATAGGGAATGTCAGGAAGCAGAAAGCGTAACTTCTATTTTTGGCCTCGCTTTTGTAGAATGCTCTTCACGTGCAGCAAAAATGTATGAAATCTGTAAAAATCGGTGTATCATACAAATTGAAGACGTTCATATTTTTGGTTTTGGTTTCTTTGCCAGGAGCAGCAAGATGCAGAAGAATATAATTTTGAGAATTTCTTCACTGAGGGAGAGACTCCACAGGACCCTAACCCAACCACCTTGATATCCATGCCACCACCTCCCAAAAATATTTCAACACAAGGTTTGTGTGTAACTAGCAAGAATCACAACCATCTCCCCTCATGCATTGAACTGTGTCCATTTCAATTGTTTGCTGGCTCTGCATGGTCCTTTTAGTCCCTCCCTGTCAAAAGCTGCAGAGATTTTCAAGACTCCAGGGCTACGTTTTCTGGATGACAAGCTGCAGAAAAGTAACTGAGTAAGAACATTTGACAACTACCGTACTGCAGAAATTGCCTTTGGAACAATACTCAGAAATGTCTAATTGGACTGAAGCTTTCTGAAAAAAGATCGAAATGATCCAAGTTTCATAATGTACAGATCTTGAAAGCCAATTTGCCCGTCAAATTTTCATTTTGAGTTATTCATTCTATAAAACAATGTTTGACAACACATTGACGTTGCAAAAGAGTCATCCAAGAGGTAAGGATTGCCTCTCTTGTTTATTTATACAAATAAACGAGCGATCCAGTGTTGATTCACTAACTCCGGAACCAGCCTAACCCTAACCCCCAAGGGTTGCTGGCCCTAACCTTCCCCATTCACACAAAGTTAAATACCCATACGGGACTTTGTGCACAGAGGCTGTAGGACTTTGTTTTTCTGAAGTATGCCAAACCCAATGCAAAAGCCAGCTGT